GCGAAGCTAAAACATGTTTAAAAATGGAGGTTTGATTTTTATAAAGAACATTTGAGCAAGTTGAATGTCAGAGAAAGGACTACAGGATAGGGTAGGCAACTCCTTCTCCTTCAAAACATGCAAAAACTGATCACTAAGAATTGGCTGGAATCCACTTTACTATTGAAGTCTTGACAGTAAGAAGGTATGGTAGAAATGTGAGCAATTAAACCGCTTCATCACTAAAAACCATATTAAATCAAATTAAGAAGAGTTAAATAAGAATGACCATTTACTTTATCCCCCTGATAATTATCCATAAGCAGTTCACCCACAATATGCATTATATATAGGTTGTAGGAAGGTACTTTAAAAAGTTTGTAGAAAAGTGAAATTAAAAGATAATACAGATCCTTTCAAGAACATTTTAAAGACCCCTCACACATGCGCTGAAAGGGTATATGTGACCGCGTGCATGCAACGATTGTCAACCCTTCAAAGATATTCTCTGGCTTTTTATTTTCTTGAAAATACCCCACTTTATTATCTTTAAGTATCACTGCTTATGCTACAGCTTTAAAAAAATTACCAATGAAGCCAATTTACTGTGTTCTGGACATTCTTTAGAAGGCACAAAAGAATCATTAGCAAAACTACTCTCACTAATATTGGATTGGGAGATTTCCCCCATAAACAAGTCTTCCCTGGTTAGGATCCCACAGATCATCTTCTCTCTCTCTGGAACAAGGAAACACAGGGAAAGAGGCATGATGGACCTAACCACCTCATTCAAAGGACTTTGCAGGTTAATTCACAGTGAGAACTCCTTCTCAATACATACACCATGTGCTTCTCCCTGAGTAATGATGAGGGGACTAATCAGTTCGGAGTACTGAAAATCATATTATGCACTGAAAATTGATGTCTTAAAATGTACTTAAATTTTAATGATGCCATCCTAATTTGTGAAAATAGGATATAGATATAACACTCATTGGCATCCTTTCATTACAAAACGTTCTTCAATCAATCAATAAAAATGTATTAGATGATTCTTATTTTCTTAAAGGAAAACATCCATATCTGTTTTTCATCCATAACTGAGATAAAAGTATGATTTACTTTTTTTCATATACACTGTCAGGCAACTGACCTCACTGATGATCCTAAAAGAACAGATCATTCAAATCCTATTTCTGACAGCCTAGTCAGCCTCGTTATAAACATTCCAACCCACAATGCAAGCATCAGAGTACAGCAATAAGCAGGGGTTTTTTTTTCTTTTATTACATGCCCTTATGATTCCTTCTTCCTGATGTTAATAGTAAATGCTGAAATATTCTATGTAAGTGATTGTTGGGCTGGAAAAAGAAAGAAACTTTAATGCAAGCATTTATACCTTCAGCAATGAAAACAAGATATTATTGTCTTGCGTGACCTTTCCTAAGCATGGGATACAGCACTTTACACAATAGTTTCTTGGTTCATGCTTCAATTACTGACCTTTACTGTGTAGGAAATTAATGCAATTTTCATTGTAATCCATCCGTACAAATAAGGTCCACACGGAAGGATTCCACATATGGAATCTAATACAAATAGGAAATGTCAACTGATTGCTGTTGGCTGAACTTAGCCATTATCTGTTTGTTCTGGGGTCCCTAGCAAACTATACTTGTAACAAGAAATTTCTTACATGAGCCATCTGGTATGAGAAAGAAGGATTTCCTCTCTTTAAAGTTTAGCCTGTACATTTTGCTTCCTACAAGCCAAAAAAGACTAGTTACCTGAAAGTTCAAAAGTCCACAAAAGAAAAGAAGGCACATTGTGGAGTCTAATCCAGTTTCTAATGCAGGTTACTACCAGGTACTTTTCACAATGGGAAGGAGCAAGAGGCTACACTGATGTCATTTAATAGCATTCCCTGTTCCAGACAATAAAAGTATCAGACCGTGTCCTGGTCTGTGCATTGGAGACAGGCAGAATACTAGGACGCATCGATCTCCTGAGGGAGCTGTGCCAATGCGCCCGGCACACTTTCATCTCCCACAGTCGTCTGTGATGGTATTTTCTGGGAAGAGGAGCTGGCAATTAAGGAGTGTCACTTGCAAGATGGATAGCTTGGGTAGAAAGGAGTTTCTCTCCTCTTCTGGTTTGGAGCATGATGGCCATGTGTTTATAATTTGTAAACAGTTTGTCTCTCTCTGGGTGTGTTACAATTCCCAGAAGCGTGTTCTGTCGTGTCTAACATGCACCAGAAGCCAGAAGGGCTCAGCGGGTAAGACTTTCCATACAGCACACTATGGTGGGAAGTGCCCCAGTGATTTTTTTTGTCCAGGTCTATGATGAGCACATCTCGTGGTGTGGCTGCTGCACATGGAAAAAAACTGATGTGTTGTAATACATACGTGAATGTGCACTCAAGACCTCTTCAAGTTGAAAATCCCTCTCATTTATAAATCTCTTACAAATGGGAGAGTGAAAAGATATGGACAAAGGCTGAAAAGTCTGCTGGTCTCCACTAACAATAGAAGGGTTGTGTGAAGCAGAAGAGGTATAAGTAGAAGCCAAAATTTCATTTTAGATTTATTCCTCCAGAAGATTTCATAGAAATATAAAATTGAGGAAGCAAAACTATTATGGTTTTGCTGTGGCTATCAAAAGGCCCTATTGAAATACTATAATAAAAACATATCAAGAATGAACTTGCCTTGGGGGAAATGAGGAGAACCCTAGTATCAACCCCCTCAGCATGAGATAGGTGTGTAGGGCTGACACAGCAGAGGTGTGTAGGGCCAAAGCGGTATAAATGCAAGAGCCCCTAGGCTCAACCCTGCATATGCTGCTATTCCAACTCTCCTCAGTCATCCTTGCCCAGCAAGGATTGGAGCACAGCCCAGATGGTTCTATCTACAGACCCACAGGCAGCTCTTAAGTTGCCTCGGTGGTAGACTAAACCTTGAACACCACTGGTCCAGACTTTATGGCCTGAGTTTGTTGCCTGCCAGTCACTGAACACCACTTTTTCATTCATTGCTTTCTTGCTGGATGCTCTCCATTATCAGATGGGCCAAATTATCATTAAAGGGTGGATGGGGTCCTTTTCTATGTCCTCTTCCTCTTCAATGGCTCATTTAACAGGCTTGGCCAAACAGAAAGAAATCTTCCTCACTTTTAAACCTTGGTTTATAGAACTTTAGAATTTTGCCTAGTGTGATATTGTGATATAATAAGAAATATGTATTTGGTTTTTGTCCCTGGTTCTTGGCAGAGAACTCCTAAAACTCTTGAAATTTCCTAACTAATAAGAGCAATAAAAGTATCTTTTGTTTAATATATGTTTTTGTCCTCAGTTCCTGAAATCACTCCAGAGCTAAAAAGGTGAAAGGAACACCTTTTTCAATTCATAACAAGCTCTGTTCAACCACACCTGAGTTTAGTTTATGTTAACAAGATGATTTTGGAAAGCCCCTCAGGATGGGAGGCTGGTTACCAGGGGAACCAACCATATGATTAGATTGTTGGAACATTTGGGGCCCATTCCCCTCCCCTGACACTGACCTCCAAAGAGGGGAGAGGGATTGGAAATGGACTTAATCACTAAGGCCCAATGATTTAGTCAATCATGCCTCTGTAATGAAGCCTCCATGAGAACAGCACAACAACAAAACAGAAAACAGTGTTTGAGAAGCTTCTGGGTTGGTGGCACATGGAGGTGCTGGGAGGGTGACAGGCCTGGAGAGGACATGAAAGCTCCACACCCCTCCCACATACCTTTTCTTGTGCATCTCTTCCACTTAGCTGTTTCTGAATTCTATCCTTTGTAATAAACCCATAAATGTAAGCAAATGTTTCCTTGAGTTTTGCGAGCCATTTTAGCAAATTATTGAACCCAAGGATAGTGTTATTGGAGCCTCCAGTCTATAGCTGGTCAGTCAGAAGAACAAGAGGCCTCGATTTGCAACTGGCACCTCATATAGGTTTCAAATAACTTCATTAACACTTGTGAGTTTCTTTGGTAAAACATCCTATCATGTGCTCTAGTTTGGCTATGGCTATTAATATTTAATGAGTTTATTACTCAGAAACCACTAACATCAATTCACCAAGAAGAAAGTTGCATCTGTGTGACTTCTATTCTGAAAAAGGTTGATCCCCTTTTAAAAAATATTATACTTTATTTTATTATTTTGCTATTAATGATCATCTTAGCACAACAAATAAGACTTACTTCGTAATCCACCCCATTTGCTTCAAATGGGCAAAACCATCTGGCCCACTCAATTAATATTAAGGTTCTGTGTGTCACGGAGCCAGTGTCTTTGAATGAATTTCTATTTTGTGGGTGTTTATATTGGATACTTACTCTTAAGTCTCCCCTTCCACCCCTTCCTATCTTACGAGCCTCCCACCCACCGGAATCACTAGCCCCTCGACCTGCAGGTTTCAGGGCACTATAAGTCCATTACGTTGGTAGCACCTCATTTGGCACTTCGTTTTTTTCATTTTATTCCAGAAGGTTCGTCTGAAAGCATAATGACAACAAAAGCAGCAGATTTGAGAGATTCTCCCAGGAGGAGAAAAAGGACAGATGTACACAGACATATAGCTGAAAACACTGCCAGCAACAGCTGGGAAAGTGACAGGCTTGGAAGTGGGTGACCACCCCGCAGAGTGCACACGTGAACCTGAGGCAATGGCAGATTCACTGGACTGACTCGGGACTTCCTAGGCTACCTTTTATCTATAAAGGGCAAGGCTAATCTTGTGTCCAATCAAAGGGCTCCCATAGGTATGCTTTTTATAACATTTCAGATATTCCTTATATTTTACCTCTTCCGATCTCATTTAAAAAAAAAATCTTAAAAAGGGTTATCTTTTTAAAAAAATTACAATATCACTATACCAGGCACTCTATACTACTAAAAAAAAAAAAAAAGTTAGAGAGATTCAGTCTGGAAGAGCGCTATCTGCTGCCAACATTAATGTCCCTTTTTCTGCTCTTTCTCAAGCATACTCACCTTGTCATCTTCGTCCTCCTCGTCATCCATGTCTATGCTGTCCTGAAAGAAAATCCCACAATCTGTTGTTAACACATCAGCTGAAAATTACCAAGTGCAAATTAAACTCATAGCCAGTTTCAAGTTTTTCTACAGAATTTAAGCATTAGTATTTTTAAAATCCATTATAACCTCTTGAAAAATAACACTTTTTCAAGTTCAGAGACACGGTGGCAAAGACTATAAACAATATGCATAATCTACATAAAAGTGTTAACCATAAATAAAGCTATCAGGCCAGTGCCCTGATATATAAATGCAGGTGCCCAGCTTTATAAATGCAGTGCCTGTTGTACCTTCTGTAAACAGTTCTGTTCTTACTCTGACAAATGAACCACTGCGACGTGAAGGCTGAGAATACCACACTCCGACTGTGCTAGACTCATTGCTACAATGACTGCTTTCTCCCTTTGGGGCCGTTACTGAAACATTACTCTGTAGAAAATGCATTAGTCTGAACATAATCAATTTTAAGAGTGAGTTACAGGTTTCTATGTGGTATTCTTATTTTGCTTGGGCTTCGGGGTTGGGAGGGGCAGGTGAGGAAAGGAAATTCCACCTGCTGATCTGAATTTAAGGGTGCCTGGCTTTAGTTCACATGCTGTGGCACCAGGTGTGCTGCTAATAGGCTTGTTCAGGTTAGTTTAGAAATCTAGGCTATTTAATAGGCAAGTTTTAATCATATCACTGCAATGTTTAAAAACCAACACGTGTTGGTACATAGTCAATATATTTTGGAAAGATTGCTCAGTATTAGAAAACCAGGGTCTATCTGCAGTTTGAACACTTATCTTTCTGCTTAACCTTGCAAAGGTCAGGCATGCAGTTTAGACGTCATTGTTCTAACAGCAAGAAGAATTGTCAATACCATGCTCTTGAATGGGAGAATTCTGAAGAATCCAGAGAGTATTCTGCCATATGCCGTAAAACCACTGAGCAGTCATCAAGAAGTTTCTACAGGGCTGCAACAGCCTTACCTCCCAGAATCCTGGTGAGATTCAACTAGCAGTGTGTGTGTGACACTTATTGATCCTCTCGGAAACTAACCTATTCACCACTGGCCCCATGAAAGCCAATGGATAAATGGGAATGTAATGAATCTGGGTTATGGGAGAGAAAACACTGAAATTAGAGGTTAGAAGTCTCCAGCTTATGACATAGTTCCAGCACTTTTTTGCTCTGTGACTTTGGGCAAATCACTCTGCTGCTATGAGCCTTAGTTTCATCTAGCGTAATGTGAAAGTAGTTTTTGCCTCCTTCACAGCTGTGTTAGCAAGATTAAATTAGGTAATGACTTTGAGTATGTTTTGTAAATTAAAAAGGCTTTATTCACGCACATACACATTTATATTCATATACATACAAGTATATTTATGTAAACGCACACACACATGTATATGTACATGCACACACATACACAGGGTACCCAAAGGCACATATGAGGGTGCTTCAAAAAGTTCGTGGAAAAATGGAATTAAAAGATATGAATCTTTCTATAAAATTTTTGATGTATCCTTGTATACATACACTGTAAACACATATATACTGGGCAAAATAAAATCTGATTAAACATTGTAAAAATGTTAGTTGACACTATTTGTTATTACAGTTATTTCTTTGTAAAAATTCTCTTCATCTGTACCTCTGTGAAACCCAGTCCTTAGTAGAACTAAACTTTGAAACCATTTATTTATGAGTTAGTTCTATTACCTTATTGGTCCATGTCCATGCCTATTGTATTAAATAATCAAAATCAAACATAACAGAATTTTGAAATTGACTGAAGTTTTACCTCTTACCACAGCACTTATTTCTCTCACCTTTCCTCCATCCTAAATACAGCAAGAAACATCACTATTTCAAAGATGATTTTTTTTTAAATGAGCACATAAAGGGAAAATAGGTGATGACAGTCAACATTTGATTCTTGGGGAGCCCAGTGTGAAGGTGATGTTTTTAGAAAGGAAATTGCTGTTAAGCCTCAAAACTTTAGCTTTGTTTTTAAAAACTTGATTCTTGAATCTCGAATGCCAAGATTACACCATAAAGCAAGCCTATAAATAGAAGTTCCTACCTACCCAGAGCAGAAAAGTATTCTATGGGCTGGGATGAGGGGGTAGGGGAAGGAGAGGGTGAGAGGAAAGAAAAACAGATGCTGAGGGATGTGTTTGAAAAGTGGCCTTGCTGGTGCTTCCTTCAATATAACTGGGAGTTTCAGAATTCCATGTTGGAACCTGAAAATAGAGGGGTCTAAGCTCACCCACTCTCTGATTGCCCTGGGAGTTGGCAAGTCTCCAAAAATCTCCTAAGCCTTCAGGCCAGAGGAGAACATTGCACAGGATGCCTATGTAGAAGGGACTGAGTCAGCCCTCAGGAGTGATGTGCATGCCCTCCAGTGGCTCGGAGCCACTCTAGACGTCGAGAGGTTATTCGCAGGAACCTTACAGAGAACCAGATGGGCACACAGATATGTGCTGCTGGCATGGAAATGATCACCAAGAACCAGTGGACTCTCCTCATGCCAGAAGTTTAGGCCAAGACTCAGAGACACAAGCTGCCACAGAAGGAAGACTCCAGATTACACCTGATAAAAGACCTCTCCTGCAAAATGGTTGTACCTGCAGGGCTGCTCTTCATGTCTCAAATGAAATGCAGTGGTTGTTTATTGCAGTTAACACATTTTCCTCCAATCTTTGCTTACCTGTGTGTCCTGCAGACTGCTGACTTTGCCTTTCATGGGTCTGATGAAATTGTAGACAAAGAGCAGCAATAATGCCAGGGGGATCATGTACAGTTCAAAATTCCAGACTGTGACCAAAAATACCTGATTGGAAGACAAATAAGACCATATTACTGATGAAACAGTACGGGAGCAATCTTAAATTGACACTCATTGACTTAAGGAGATTAAACCTGAGACTCTATAGTAGCTTTTAGCAACAGTTCCAAAAGGTGAGTTAATCACATGCAATTATTAACTCAATTTTAGAACCGGTTGCAGAATGAGGAACAGTATAGAGTTGGCCAGTTGCACTCTGGAATTGACCCATACAGTAGCCTTTACTTCGAAACCCCACTATACTAACAACTCTAGTCAGTTTTTTGTCCCTGGAGTTTAGTGCTCCACAATTTAGAGAAAGCAGTATGGAAAAATCCAAGGTCACAAAGAGGCAGGCCATAGGGCCAATTTGGCCAACAGTGATGTGTATTTGAACTCAAGAAAGAGATTACTTTTTAAGTTGGCTGCCAATGTTTAAAAATCCAAATATTTCAGGAAAAAACAAAAACCTTTAGATTTCCAAACTCTTTAAAAATCTTAAAATCTACCAATTTTGAGATGGTAGTGCCACAAGAAAATGATCAGCCAGCACTGTCTACGTCAGACAAGGTATGCGCTTACCCGCACTGTCTAGCAACCTCTGAAAATTGCAACCCCTGTTGTAGGACAGTGTGTGCTCAGGGTTTGAGTCCCAGTGCCTGTGTTATGATGGTTGCTGGAAACATGAATGCAAATCAAACACCTCCACGGAACACACTAATTAGGATAAATAAGATAAGAACAGCTGATCGTTATAATGTGAGGTAGGAGTGAAATCTTGGGCAAATTACTTCAAAATTGAGCCTCACTTTCTTTTGGAACTCACAGGTAGTCTAGAAGATGAAATAAGGTAATTCGTAGTTATCAGCTGTCAGCTTGAAAGCACTCAAAAAAGTCACTGTTGTACCTATCAACTTAGAAGAGGCAAATTACTGCATCTTACTGAGTCTTCCTTTTCAAAAGCAATATTGTTTTACTGCTAAAAACTTCTTTAACATTTAAAATTTTTTTAAATTTTTCTTTCAGTTTTAAAATTTACTTGTACATATCTTTGGGGTACAGTGTGTTTCAATACATGCACATACTGCACAGTGATTTACTTGGGAAAGATGGCATAGTTTTGTAATCATTAGTCCACCACTTCTCCTTCCCCCTGCCCATTATATTTTTCAAAATGGTCATTATTTGCATATAAAAGCTAATAATTTATATATATTAGTGTTTAAAATGAGCAACCTTACTGAATATTCTTTATTATTTCAAATAGCTTTTTATTTCATTCTTCTGGGATTTCTAAGAGTATAGTCACGTAATCTACAAATAAGGTATCTCTTCTGTTTCTTCTTTTCTAGTATTTGTAACAGTTTTTTCTTGCTTAATTTCACTACTCCTACAAAACGATGGTAAATAAAACTTTTGAGAGGAATATTATTATCTCATTCCTGACTTTAATGAAAAGGCTTCTAAGTATTCCCTTTTTCTAGCATTAAGCATGACATTGCCTTTCAGTTTGAGCTATATAAATCATATCACATAAAGAATACACACACATATGAGCCAGTTTTTACTATTACAAAACTCACCTACAGGTGTTTATTATTCATAATATATTTCAAGTATTTTATAAATATTCTTTTGTATCTGCTCCAAACTTAACAAAATCATTTTTTAAATTTCAAGAACATGTCCATCTATTCCAACAAGAATTTATTTAATTATTACACTTTTTAAATCAGGAATGAATGGTGTCTGATCAACTGTATTTTTGGTATCTTCTGAAATGATTAGGAGGGTTTTTTCCTTCCATGTTAAAACATCAATATGGTGTACTATATTTCTGATTTCATAATATTAAAGCAACCCCATATTTCTGGGAGAAACCATTTCTTCACTGAGGTCTGATAATCTCTCAATGTACTGTTGCATCTTACTTGCTCATGTTTTGCATAGATACCCATGAATTACATTTATCTATTGCTTGCTTTTTTTTGGTATTTTCAAGTTTTGGTGTTAGAATTATGTTGACACCATATAAAATTTTAGTCTATTCTCTATGCCAAAGATAATATTTTAATATTATATTACTGAATATTCCAAGAATACAAAAAAATATATAGAACAATTCAACAAATACCTATATTCTCTTCCCCAAACATTAAGTCTTGTTAATGTGCTTGTTGTCATCTTTCTTTCTAATTTACTTATTATTCTTCCATTTAAAAAAAATAAACCATTTCAAGTACTTGGTCACTATTGCCAATCCTCCTGAGTCCTACGCCTCTCATCCCAAAGACAACCTTATCCTAAAAGTGATGTGAATCCTACCCACCTGAAGACACCTTAGGTTTATATTAGAAATAACATAAACAGCATCAAAATGTTCATATCATTTTGCAAATATTTTATTCAACAGTATGTTTTATACTTCTCTTCATGGTGTATATGTAATTCACGTACACTCATTTTTTTTTTTTTTTTGTCTTTTTCGTGACCAGTATGGGGATCGCAACCCTTGGTGTGGTGTCGCCCACACGGCGCTAGCCAGCGAGTGCACCAGCCAGTCCTATATAGGATCCGAACCCGCGGCGGGAGCATTGCTGCGCTCCCAGCGCCACACTCTCCCAAGTGCGCCACACTCTCCCAAGTGCGCCACAGGGCCGGCTCTCAAGTACATTCATTTTAACAGGTATAGTTTCCCATTCAAAGGAATGTTCTCCAATTTATGCATAGTACTCTCTTATCAATGCAAACTTAGGTTGAAACAGACGTTTTATTTTTTATGGAGCCAAGTATATTCATCTTTAATCTTAGGATTTATGCCTTCAATCTTCAATGTTCTACTTAAGGAATCATATTCTACCATGAAATAATAAAGCTATTTCCTTGTGCTTTCTTCTAAAAGATAATTGTGTGTGTTTGTATAATCTTTATTGTCTCAATTTTTGTATGTATAATTAGAAACAAGCATCGAATTTGAACTTTTTCCTTACAGACAGCTAACTTTTACAACTAAATTCCTCTAACAATCCATCTTTTTCTCACCAATCTACAGTGCCATTTCTGTTATATACCAAGTTCCCACATGAGTGTGTCTGTTGTTTCTGGCTCTTCTAAACTCTTCCACTGATATATTTTCCTATTCTTTTACCAAGATCACGTTTTTAAATTATAGTTTAGTAACCAAACAATATTTGAGTGGACAACCTCTATTACTGCACCCTCAAAATTATCTTGAATGTTTTTTGTCCTTTATTCGTCCACATGTATTTTAGAATCAATTTGTAAAGTTCCATAAAACTCTTGGTGAAATTTTGATTGTGATTGTCTTGAATTTATGTATCAATTTGGAGAGAATGGACATCCTGGTATTAACATTTTGAATCATAAGGACTGCTTATTTCTCCATACATTTAGGACACCTTCTAGGTATCTAAAAACATTTTATTACTTTCACCATACTGATTTTGCATATGTTCTATTACTTTGTAAGTAACTGAGAGTTTTGATACTATCATGAATGGTAATGGGACCATTTTTAAATTTCTACACTTTAATCGATTACTGCTGGGTACAGGATCACTGCTTTTTATATGCTGTTCACATTCTTTCGCAGACCTAATTAAATGAAGGAGATTGCAAAAATATCCTTTTGGAGATGTGATGTGGAAAATCATCTAAACTGAAAATCATGATGATCTTTCTTTTGCCTTCCAATCTATATTTTACTTATGTTTTTTCTCAGTGCTAAACCTCTTTATATTTTCCTGATGAGTAAGTGTCGAATTTTTGGAGTACTTTTTGAATCAGTGAAGACTACTGTGTCATTAATTTCCTCCAGTCTATTAATCTAGCTTGCTTTATCAACTTTCTTTTTTTTGCTGTTTTATAATATATCTTTTCCTATGATTTTCTATCTTCTTAAAGATTTATTTCATTTTTGTTTTGGGGGGGGAGGGGTTGTTTTATATATATATTAAAAGAAAATAGCAAAAAGTAGAGAAAATAGTACAGAAATTTTTCTATTAGGTAAATCTAGAGATTTTCCTAATTGTCATCTATTTTCCTTTCCCTTTCCTTAAGGTTCTTTGGGGATTAGAGGTTTTAACTATATATTAAATGATTGCTGTTTCTAAATGTCTATTGACTGGGTAAGTTGGATTTTATTTTTTTAATGCTAAATGTAACTTCAAGTAAAAGAGGCTGATGTAAAGCTCATAAAGCTATTGAGAAAAATCATAAAACAAAATATTTGAAATTTATTTCATTACAAAGCTACCTATAATATGTCTGACAAAAATTACTTAAACGTGAACTAGTATTCAAGGACAGCTGTGTTAAGTGAATGCCTCATTTGCCATAACATTTGCTTCTATCAGGTGTAGTTAAACAATCCTAGAAGAGTTTTGCAACAAAAATTTAGTCATATTTAAGTAAAACATTCAAACAGCCCCAAACTCTTTTGAAGCAAGATCAGAGTGCCTTTAGAAATACTTTGAAAATCAGTGCATATTTCCCACTTCTGCAGCAAAGGATTAATTTCCTAAAAAGCATACCTTTCATGAAAAACAAATATAAACCCTGGAAAAAATTTTAAAAAGCACTAATTATCTGAGCATCTGCAGGGGAGTTGAAACCTTGAAATATGAAATCAGATCTTCATGGGGTCACTTGAACATTTTTGCATCTTTGACCCCAAAACAGCTTGCTATCCCAGTGGTAATGCCAGTTGAATAAAACCCCAGTGAAAAATTGTGCCATCTTTCTAAATGGAGGAAACAGGCAAAGCACTCAGGGACAGCCAGGGCTACCAGAGACTGCAAGCAAAGGAGAACCCCACATTCTACATGCAAATTCTGCTAAAGTTGCTAACATATGTATGAGGCACACTCAAAGCTACCTGAACTGAGATCAAAGTTGCCACCACAAGAGGTGTGAAAGAGTTTGCAGTTTGAGTCTAATGAAGTTAAATGACTTTTTAAAATATTCAACATTATTTGGAA